TGGTTCTCTGCTAAAGTTTTCACCTGGCTCCAAGTCTGCCCACATGTTTTCATCTCCTCTTCACACGACCTCCTCCAAGTCACCCCACTGTGGGACGACCAACTCGCCGCTTTCCTTTCAGGTTTCACTCGAGCAATGGCTTGTCTAGTGATGTCCCTTGATGGTTTCCTCACTGTATGGCCAGCGAATGCACATCCATTTCTTCCTGCTTATTTGTTGTACAGTTAGTTCCTGGTTGGTTCGCTCATTGCCAGAGATACCTGTTGATTATCTTTTCTGGCCATCTGATCTCGAGTAGTATTGAGCGAAGACAACTGTTGATGAAGGTCTGTAGTTTGTTGGAGATGCTCTTTATGACGCGCTAGCCAAATCTCTGATCCGTATAGCAGCACTGACTGACTTCACACTGGAGTTGAAAATCGGGATCTTATTTTTGATGCTGAGTGCAGTTGACCTTCACAAAGACTTGAGACTAATGAAAGCTTGTGTTGCTTTTCCGATCCTTGCTTTGATATCCTCATCAGTTCCGCCTGTAGTCGAAACGATGATTCCCAGGTCGGTTGGTAGGTGAAGGAGGTTGATTCTTTCAGATTTCCCCATTTATGCTGATTGTTGTTTGTTGTTACTGCTGTCACTGTTGGCCAGGAATCTTCATCACCTCTGTTTCATCTATGTGCACCTGAACTCTTTCCCATCTTTGATGCTTCTTTTGCCAGCTTGTTGCTTTTCACTTGCATATCTTCCAGTTTGTGGGAAATCAGACATATATCATCGGCGAAGTCTAGATCCTCCAAGTCTCTTTTTGTGTGAGTCCATTTATGCCTGTTTCCTCATTGCCCGGTCCGTTGTTTGTCGCATTATCCAATCTACTGCAATCAGGAAAATCATTGGCGATGATAGACAGCCTTGTCGCACTCCCGTCCTCATTTCGAAGGCTTCCGTAATTTTTCCGTTGTGGATTACTTGGCATGCACCATTGTCGTATAACTGTTGCATGAGACGTACAATTGTCGATGGCACCCCGTAGTAGCGAAGTAGTTGCCAAATCACCTGTCGATCGACGCTGCCGAAGGCCTTTTCAAAGTCAATGAGGTTGAGATAGAGAGGTGACTGCTATTCCAAGCTTTGTTCATTGATGATCCGTAGTGTGGCGATTTGATAAATATATGACTTGTTTCTCCTGAATCTAGCTTGTTCCGGTCAACGTTTTTCATCCAGCGTGACTTGCTCGATTCTCTCCAGGATGATGCAACTTAGTGCTTTGCTTGGGATGGACAGGAGCATAATTCCGCGCCAGTTTTTGCATTGAAGCCAATAGACCAGTGAATGCCGAAGAATCTGTTATTCATTTTTCAGTACCACGTTTCAGGTTATACGGGAGCATATATTGTTAGTATTTGATGTATTTTTCCTGGTCAGTAGTCACTGAAGTGGTCATAGTTGTTGTATGACATAAGCGAAGGGTATTCGCTTTTCTGTACTGATTAGTATTTCAGTGTCTTTCTACATCCATAATGCAATAACAATCGGATCCGTTCATGCTGAAATGTTTGAACTGATAGATGTAATATATCCAAGTATTGGTTTTGTACAGATTTGATTGATTGGTTACAGGACTTCATCATGAACTGATTTAGGTTAAAGAATCATCGGAAAACCTTCTATTACTTGACAGCATGACGAGGTACATTCATATCATCGTAAAGACTTTGCTGACCCAAATTACAAAGACCTTTTCAATCGTTATTATTAAATAGCTAAAAATATTTCCTTGAATGAAATCACGTTGATCTGAACCAACTCGTTATAGACTAGACCCGATCTCTGAGTCCCTCTGTTTGACTTTTCGAAGCTTGTCTGAGATACACAAAGTCTTAGAAAGGGATCAAGAGACACCAAAATGATGATTACTCATGATTAGAAACCATGGAGTTCCATCCAAGAATAATAACATCAAGAACTCATGATCACCTCAGCAGTGTTGTTAAGAAGGTTTATAGATGAAATAAGTTTCTCATTAGAAAACGTAGTACAAAACAAAATTACTTAGCCGAAATTCAGCTGTAAGAATTACTCTAGAATCAAGACGAATATTCCCGCTAAGGTGAGCATCAGAAATTCTCCACAAAAATACAAAAACAACGCTTCCAGTAGACAGCCGAAGGTCAAAGCAAACATAAATCACTCAACTGAAGTCCCGCTGTACAACACATTATCAAAACCCTTACACAAACCAAAAGAGAAGCGTTTAAACAAGGGATTAGCAAAGAAAAAGATAAGTTATACGAATCAAGTCAATATGTAGTATGGGGACGTCAGAACAATGATACACAAAGACAAGGAAAAAATCGGATAATGATGACAAAGTTATTTGAAACAATCAAATAAGTATAAATATTTTAACTGAATGATTCAGGAGGGGTCATCCAAACAATTTTCTGCCACAGTCTACATGTGTCATCTGTTTGATTAGTGAATGTGTTGTCCTTCAAATAATAAATTTTCAGGTTCAAAGTCGACAACTGCCAGAAAGACAAGACAGATGCAACTGAAAAACGCATCACAAACCTACTGAGAGATCTTTTAAAGAAGAATTTGATTGACAACAACACGTACGATGAATTGAAATCCCGAGGGTCCTGCTTGCCATATATGTATGGCCTTCCAAAGACACACAAGAAAGCAGTCCATCTGAGACCTATACCTTCGATGATCAACTCTCCTCAACATAAGGTTGCCCGTCGGCTTGCGGAGAATTTGGAACCCATTCGCCAAAGGCTAGCCACGCATACCATAAAAGACTCATTTCATTTTGCCGAAAGCGTGAATCGCATGAACGTTTCAAATAAGTTCATGGCTTCATTTGATGCAACCTCCTTGTTCACAATGATCCCAATCAATGAAACCATTGAGATCATTTGTCAACAGTCTGATCTTCTCCCACTACCAGAGCCGGAATTCAAACGCCTACTGCTAATAAGTACCATGGGTGTACAATTCCAGTTTGACAACACTCTTTACCGACAAATAGATGGTGTAGCTATGGGCAGTCCACTTATCCCTGTTTTAGCAGATATCTTTATGTCAAACCTTGAGAAAACAAAGCTGAAGCATGCAATTGATCAAACAACTTCCCATTGTCGATAAGTCGATGACACATTTGTAGTGTGCAACAACGAAAGTCATGCCTCCTCCCTTCGAAGACTCTTCAACAACGCGCATACAAATACGGTGTTTACTATGGAACCTCACTAGCCAGAGCCTATCCTGCAGCTAAGTTGGTTCCCGTCCAACGAACAACATGCTGTTTGGTGCAGTCAAAAGTCGATAGATACCCTTCTCATGTTAACTCCGACTGTGTATACAAATTTACGTGTATGTGCGGGAGCAGTCACATTAGGAGAACAGAAAGAAGGGCACACCTCCAATTTTCTGAACATGTACCGAGAAGCCTACGTCTCAAGGGAACAAATTCTTATAGCAGCGTCATTACCAGACATCTTCTCGAAACGGGTCATGAGATGGAATCCGAGAAATTCTTCAAAATTATCAATAGACAAAGGAGCTCCATTCTCCTCAAGTTTGCCGAAGCAATTTCTATCAAAAGCTTGAAACTAGATTTATGTGTTCAGAAAGAAGCAGTTATTAGTCTTTCCTTGCCCTGGTAACTGTATGTCTTTATCCTCTCATCTAATTACATAATCTGTAATTTTGCTAGTCTCTTCTTTCTATGATTTGAATTCAACTCAGTACATTGTTACCTAAATTATTAGTCACTATACATCTAACGCACATCTCATCTTTATTATGCAACTCCTTTACCATTATATGCATACTTTTATTTTGTTTTAACTTGAACTGCCTGTGTAAATACTATATAAGCGCAATTTTCTGAGCACTGTTTAGCAATTGTGGAAATTTCTCTCAACTGACAACATATAAAATTTGCAAGTATGTTAAAACTTTTCTGTAGTTGTGCCTCGCAATTTATTTAGGCTGTAAGCAGCTGATGAGATTCCAACGAAATAAATGATGGTGCAATATTGTTCTGCACAAACCTCCACTGTTGTTCTTGCTTTATTCAAATTTTCAGGAATAGGTGCTTAGCATACTAACGGTAAATTTAATGTTACTTTTCAACAGTTGTTTCTTTGCATCGTTGTCACAAGTGTTCACATCTTGCTACCATTCCTTTTATTGTTTTGTAGACTAAATTTTCTTTTTATCAAAGAACAACAATTCTCCGCTGCAGTAGGTTATCAAGGTGTCATCAGTAGTTCACTCGATTAATATATCTGATGTGTGGTGATTATAAACTCATTTCTATACATATTTTCAATCTGTGCCTTCTGAGTGTGAATTGGGACTTCAAGTCTTCGCTCTACCGAGGCCCATGGTATTGTTTTTACGGGATTAGACTGATGAACTCCCGGAAATCCTTCAGTCACTTCCGAGCTCACTAAAAAACAAGTGACGTTTAGGAGTATGTCTTATGGGAGTAAAACACGAACCACTGATACTCAGAAATTGTTTAGTTTATTTATCCAACGGACTCTTGAAACCTTGGTTTGTTAGTTCCAGATAATTAATTGGGTCATACAGGATAGCTGTATGACCTGTCTGGCTGTACAGAAAACTTTACCGACACAACTAATCAGTGTCATGGATCAAGAAGTTCGACAGGGTTTTTCCTCAACTGATAAGCCAGCTAAGTGTTCACTTGACCTAGTTTCTTTCAGCAGCCTTTGCCCCATACTAAAGATCACAAGACCAGAAAAATTGACAACACAAAATCTATTTGCCATCTACTGAGATGCAATTTATACATCTGTCGTTGCTTTTGTTTATTATAATCCATGATCAATAAATTATGTTTAATTCTCAAAACACTGCATTTAGAAGAGTGTAAATAAAGCGTTGTTGACAAGGATTGGACGGTGTTTTTTTAACTACGCAAACATCATGTGTCAGCTGGTAATTACACGACTACAGCACTTCTTTTTTGTTGACACTTTTTTTCTCTGTGTGGTAAATATATTATGCATAAATAATGAGAAACACAGATCACTGTAACAATTATTCAGTGGAATTTACAAGAATGCATCTGACTGAACAATTACTTTTGCTAACGTTTGTGTTAGTTACAATTTGTACATTGGAAGTAACCGGTTCAGTAGGTAAGATTAAAATTCCTTAATGTTTTTTACTGTATAATATATATATATATATATGCAGTATTATTATTATTTCCTTTGGTCCCTAGAGGAACGTAGGGTTTCGGCCCAGCGTCTTCATTGCTTTTAGTTCTCTGCTAAAGTTTTCACCTGACTCCAAGTCTGCCCATACGCTCTCATCTCCTCTTCACATGACCTCCTCCAAGTCACCCTTGGACAATCAAATCGCCGCTTCCCTTTTGGGTTCCATTAGAGGGCTTGTCTAGTGATGTCACTTGTTGGCTTCCTCAAAGTGTGACCAGTTCAACTCCATTTCTTCCTGCTTATTTGTTGTACAGTTAGTTCCTGGTTGGTTCGCTCATTACCAGAGATCCCATGTTGCTGATTTTTTCTAGCCATCTGATCTTGCGTAGTATGAAGCGAAGATAGCTAGCTGTTGATGAAGGTCTTTAGTTTGTTTGAGATGATCTTTATGGCACGCCAAGTCTCTGATCCGTATAGTAGCACTGACTTAACATTGGAATTGAAAATCCGGATGTTATTTTTGATGCTGAGTGCAGTTGACGTCCACACAAACTTGAGAGTAATGAAAGCTTGTGTTGCTTTCCCGAACCTTACTTTGATGCTGTAGTAGTGTGAATACAATTATGCGTTTCGTGAGCACGTCTACCAGTCATTACGATTGGGTAATTTAGAATGAAAACATTAGAGCATAAGACGTTGTGAGGTATATTTGTATATCCTGTATCTATATAGAAAAGCCTCGGGATTCGGAAGATACACTTTTGATTTAGAGCAAACGCGTGTTTTAAGATCTCTGAGTTTATTCTTTAGGGTATACCGGCAGATTTTAACCGATACATCAAAAAATCCAAGTATTTTCTCTCAGAATAACTGAGGCATATTCAAAGGATGTCGATCCAGTCACTAATTTAACGTGGTGATATTGCTTTTGGGGGGAAATAGTTATAATTTTTAAAAGGCTTTTAATTTGTATGTGACATTCTGTTAATAGTACAGTGTTTGAAGAAATCTTCATGCCTGCTTGAATCACTTGTCTAAGTGAATTTTCCATCATATAGGTGCATTGTGGTCACTCCATTACATATTGTTTTAATCATACAATTATGTTTAAAAATTGCTATGGGCACTAAGGCGCATTTTAAAATAAGTTTCAACTTATTAAAATGAAAAGAAAAAGAAGTTCAACAGAGATATCTCTCTTTTCGGCGATTTCATTCTCAAAAGCTGTACAATCGCATTTATACACATTAGTTTACATGGATACAATTCTTATTTGTTTAATTCCACATAGTAACGAAGGTGATAATAATTTTCAACGAATATAGATTACAAGAGGCTTAGAGGCAAGATATCATAGGATTAGGAAACAGTTAAAACGTATGCAAAATTAATATTTGATAACTAGGAGAAAAGATGGGTCACTTGGGAGAAGTGTGTACAGAAAAAGCACATTCACAGGGCAGTACACACACTTCCTTAGTTACGTGCCCATTAAATATAAAAGGAATCTTGTAAAATGTCTCGCGAGCAGAGCAAGGAAGATATGTACGGAGGACCTCTTACAAAAGGAATTTGAATATATTCACGATTCCTTGACGGAGATGGGTTATCCGAGTAGTTTCATAAAGAAACATATGAAACCATCAGAGAAGAAACCTGTGACTCTAACTGCACACAAGAAACCTCTATTTATTAAGTTACAATTTAATGGGGACTTATCTAGTGAGATTCTATTCCAAAGACTTTCAAGGAGCATACGTAGAACATTTTACGCAGCACACTTATGTTTGTCATTCTCTAGCCGACGAATGATTGGGACGCAAACGAAGGATAAGCTTGATAGTTTTGCCACATCTATGTGTATTTATCAATTCAACTGCACCTGCGGTGACAGTTATATTGGGCGTACTACTAGACAGCTTAGCCAACGTGTTAGTGAACATCTCTCATCGTGGTTTGACAAAGGACAGACAAAAACAATCCGAAGCTCAATTCTGTCACATCTAATTGATAGTGGTCATGTAGTCGATAAAACGAAAGCCTTCAAAGTAATTCATCGTATCCCTCCGAATCTTTCTAATAGACTTCGTATTTGTCTACTGTACACAGCTGAGGCGATAGGCATTCGAACTATTAAACCTAAACTATGCATTCAAAAGAAGTTCGTGCAGCCATTATCCCTCCCGTGGCCTAAAAAGACATAACCAACGAAAGACTTCTACATCACCCTTTATTTATATTTCCAACCCCTTTCTTATCATCCCTTAATCTTATCTGATGTTTATTATAAACGTGTTTCATTTCCTTCCCCTACAATCTAACATTACGTAATTGGTTCATTTGTTTTCACTAGCCTTTATCGACTACTTCCAACTGAACAATTGTTTGTTTAATCATACTGTTTTTCATTATTCGTGTTATCACAGATTGCCTCATTTTTTCATCCTTATTATTGATAAGACCATTATTATTATTATTATTACTATTATTAATATTATCATTACCACTATTATGACTAACTGCACAATTTATATTCACCATCGTATTATCCTATAGACAAAACACCATGATTGGTTTATATTTGAATTTTTATTTGTAAACTTATATATATTAGAGTTAAGCCTGATGAGATCTAATTGAAAACAATATTGTTCGCTTAAATGTGTTGTTCTAAACTGGAGAATTAATTTTAAAGGCGAATAAAAGGTGGTAATTGTTTTCAACTTGATTTAAATTACAAGAGGTTTAGCAACGCAGAGATAGAACGAATTACAGATGTGAACAAAATGAGTATAGAAACAAATTGAAATAAAAATTTTTCAACTTGAAATGTTAGGAGGTGTGAATATAGATTAAAAGGGTCTTAGAAACATAAAATTACACAGGATTAGAATATAATTAAAAATTAGTTATTCTAAACGGATAACAACTGTGGTTAGAAGGAGCATGGAGACAAATTTAAAATAGCTGATTTTATAACTGAAAAATAGGGTGAATTGAATGAAGGCAAAGAGAGAAAATTATACACACAGATAACAAAACAAAAACTGAAGGGAACATACTGAACTAGGTCCATGGTAGTTGTAAAGGCTGGACTAGTTTCTTTTGAACACACGGCTTCGGCTTTTCAATGCAAATGGCGAAAGCTTCCGCAGTACAATTAAGTCGGTAACACACTACCTTTGGTAGATTTGTTTTCAACTTATTAATATGAATTTTCTCACGGAAATCAGGCAGAGATATTTTGAAGTTTTGGAGCATGACTTGGATAAAAGAATATCACTTCAGAATTAATGAAAATATGTTGGTTTTTATATATCCTAGAAGACGTTGTTAAAATCATTGTATTTCTGTTTATTTGCTAATAGGTTCTAAAGAGAATCCAGCTTCCCATTTCTGGTCACCATTTAACACATGACATAATATTATTAGGAGCAATTATTTACATTCCTTTGGTAATGTGTTAATGGCTCTCGCTAGACACGCACGTGTTCTGGGTTCGACTCCTAGCTTATCTAGTATTAAGTCTCACCCAGTGAGCAGTAAGATCGAATAGAAGGGAACGTCGGGAGTGAAACCTGAGACTCCATCCTGTCAAAATCAACACAACGGCCACCTAGACTTCAGGGCTGAAAGGCTGATGCTCTGTATTTTCATTTGGAATGCAAGGGGATGCGAAAACTCCTGACTGTGTAAGTATGACAACATAAGTTGTCTCACTCCGTGTAATTAAACGTAGATTGAATAGATCATTGATGAAGAGTAGATCAGTAGCACTGAGAGATGCGCGTCTCAGACTTCATAGTAAATTAACCGTCGCACATTTTATTTTCTTCTTATATTCACGAAAACTGCGATACATTAATTTAAATGGTTTCTTTGATACCGTCAACGTTTTCTTCGACTCAGAGACAGACTCCTCTGTTATTATTACCAAGCCTGAATGAGTAAAAGTCATTAAGTAAATCGTGAGTGATTCCAGTTTGAAAAGACAAATATATTATTTTTAAATGAAAGGCAGCACAGAAACAGGAAGAATGAATGGTTTCTTTCACGGTGGTAGAATAAATTACTCTTCTGAAAATAGACAATTGATAAGAAGACGTAATTTATCTGTCTGAATGCTGAGTGTTTTGTGTATTTGCGTAAGGCGTTTCGAATAATCTGATCACACACGGACTTTTCATTAAATGTACATGAAACTATTAAGGAGTTAATAAGTGAGAAAATAGACTAAAGTCAAGTTAAACGCACATACTGATGGTCAAAATGACAATGAAGATCACTAAACCAAGTAGCAGAAGTAATAGTACATTATGCATAGGAATATGTACTCTTTTGATGTAAACTCATTATTCACTAATGTGCCTTTGATCGAAACAGTTGACATTTTGTGTGATTACATTTCCACAAACTCTTTTTCATTCCCTTCCTTATATCTTATTTAAAGAATTTATTGCTAATATTTACTAACAATGTTAGGTTTACATTTGAAGACGATTGTTTCCACCGAGTTGATTGTGTTGCTATGAGAAGTCGGTCAAGGCCAGTCTTTGGCAGATATTTATATGTCGTACATTGAGAATTGAATTGAAGGATTTAATTAAAAATTTGCCACTTTATAGGAGGTATGCAGATGATATTGTAATCAAAAGTGATAAGTCTTGTTCTGCCAGGTCAATTTTAAATCGAATGAATGAAGTTCCGAATAGCATATCACTTAAATCTGTAGAAGAGGAAGATAATTGATTATCTTTCCTAGACATATTGCTTAGTCGATGGCTTGATGGGTCAATAAAAACATCTATTTATAGAAAACCTACCTGGATATGAAGATATCTTAATTAAAACAGTTTCTGCCCTGTTTGGTACAAAAGGGCCTTAGTGAGCGAGGTGCCTCTTCAGTAGAATCCAACGAAAATGCAATGAAGATACACTTGATGAAGAAGACAGAAAGTTGACACAAACTGTGGTTGATAACAATTATTAAGACCGGTTCATCAGGAGATATAAAGTAGTTAAAACACCAAGACAGACTATCCAACTCGCTTCTAAGAAAGACGTATATATCAAGCTAACCTATATGGGGCATCAAAGCAGCTTGATAACTAGAAAAAAGCTGAACGCTGCTGTTAAAAAGACTTTCTATGCAGCTAATATCATAATAATAGATAATGTAAATCCAATATATCTATCTAAGCCCTTCGAACATGCGAAAAAAGACGTCACATCCCACTGTATTTACCAATTCGAATATACGTGTGGGCACGCATACATAGGGAGGACTCATCGATCTCTGCAAGTTAAGCCTGGCTTCAGAGGATATTCCTAAATGGCTTCAGAAGCAAATATAATCTCCAGAACCCATTTGTAGAAAGAACAGGATACCAAGCGCCTCTATTGTGAAACATATTGGAGAGACAGGATATAAAATTTGATGTTTCCACACGTTTTTTAAATCTATCTATAAGACTTGTTTTAGGCAGGACGTATGTTAAAGATTGTGGAAGCCTTAGCTAGCAGAAAGTTTAAACCACCTTTATGCGTTCAAAGCAGCAATTTGTCACAACACTCTTGCCCTTCCTTGGTAAACTTTGCTGTGTTCTGATACTATAGCAGATGTACTATTACCTCTGTTATTCGGTTTAGTGATCTTCATTGTTATTGTGACCCTAAATATGTCCTTTTAACCTGACCTAAATTTATTTTCTCACTTCCTAACTCTTTATTAATTTCATATATATGTTTCTATGACGAGTAAGTGGAGTGTGATCAGATTGTTGGAAATGTGTTGCTCAAATACACAATACATGATTCAGACAAATTACGTCTTCTTATTGCTTTGTTTAAATTCATAAAAACAACTAATTTTTTTTTACACTTTTGAAAATATAAAATATATATATATGCATTAAATCGAGTTTTTTTTTCACAACCAAATACTTTCCAGTCTATGAGAGTGAGTTTTTAATTTTTGGTTACATATTGTCCCTTGTTCAGCCATACTTCTTCATATATGATCATGAATGTGTATGTTTTTCGGGTTATACACCTTTTTCTACCAGTACGACACTTAGTAATTCGAATGACGATCAGACACCAACTGACAGCTTCGTGGAATATAGAAGTAATGACTCAATTCACTTCGAACACATGTATCATTATAAGTTTACCATGTATACATATATTGACACTGAGCTACTTTGTGATAGAATAGTAAAGACTATTTTCCAGGTGTCGGTTTTTATTGAAATTATTTTATGATTGGTTGGATGATTTCATCGTGAGTTGTCATCACTCAGACAACCATCGGAAAACCAGGTGGAAGTACTGAACACATCTGTTTCATCAGCCTAGTTTGGGAATCTTCAGCAGTTCGCACGTACTCCAGGGATCCGAACCCAGTACTTTTTTGTTATAATATGAGCTCTTAGACCATTAAGCCAGTGGGATACAATCCAATTGATTCTAACTTCTGCCGATTCCCGATATAGTGCTACCGCTAGACAATACGTTTGGCGGGTATTTGTCCTTACACCCGACCTACTGTATCCTACTGGTCACAACTCGCCACCACAACACCAAGTAACTGCCTGAATAGGGCTAGTCACTAGTGACCATCAGATTAGTTTCAACTATTGGTTTCGTAGGAATTATTGTTTGATTGGTTGGAGGATTTCATCATAAGCTGAAATCAGCTATTAGAAAGCTATTTGAAAACCTCGGAGTATTGAACAGCTGTTTCGTCCTAGTTTGGGCCTCTTCATATGTACTCACCCATTGAGGTTTGAAAAGTCCCAAACTAGGACAAAATGGCTGTCGAGTACTCCCAGGCTTTCCAATGTTTCTCTAAATGATGTCAGCTCATGATGAAATATTCCATCTGATTATAAGTTTACAGAAAATATTATCTAGAAATCCAAAAAATCTTCAATGGATTCTACTGTAAGAAGACATTTAATTACCCTGACTGAACACTAGTCACATATCACTTGATATTCAATCAAAGTGTTTAGTTCAGTCCTATACTAAGTCAGTTGCAAGCACGAATAGCTCATTAAGAATCCCTATAACTGTCGCACTGAGTGATACGTATTTGGATCTCGTAAGGAACAGGAGCTGATTAAGGGTTTCAGACACACATGACGGGGAGTGGCAACAAGGACAAAATCTAGGTCCAAATCATCATGCCGATCGCCCCCCCCCAACCATCTAGTATATTTATTTGTTGATAGAGAAGGGGCGCGGTAAACTTTTATTTATTTTATTTTCTATAATTTTTGGTTTGTAAGGATTAGTTATGTTTTCCGAGTTGATCCTTACAAACCAAAAACTATAGAAAGTTAATCTGATGCTCGCTAGTGACTTGCTACAGGTTGGAGTTTCCTGAGTTCTAGTGAGAAGTCGTGACCAGTGAGGTCCAATTAGATGTCACGTGTGTGGATGGATGTCCCACCAACGACAATGGTCGGGGTCGCGCTAAATCACGAATTGGTAGAAGTTAGAATTCACGAGGCATTGAATCGGGTCCCAGTGGCTGAATGGTATACGAGCTTGCCTTGTAACCGGAAGGTCCCGGGTTCGAATCCCAGTGGGTACGTACTGCCGATGATTCCTAAACTAGGATGAAACAGCAGCTGTCCAGTACTCCCTGTGGCTGGTTTTCAATGGTTCTCTAACTGATATCAATCCGTGATCAACTCGTAAAACATTTATTTTATTATTTTTATTTTTGACTACAGCTTGGTTCCATACCGTATTTTTGGCACAGGTATGGAATTTTCGGCATGCGATATCGGTAGCCCAAATTTTGCAGGCCAACCATAGATATCAGGTGTACGTCGGCAGAGGATTGAACTCCGGACCATGTGCATGGTCGGCGAGAGTCCTAACCACTGTGCCACCGACGCATATATATATTCCATACACGAAAATGCCTTCTTCACAAGATTGGTGCATTCGAGGTTATTCGCTGATTGGTAGTTAATGCTGCTTAAAGTTCACCTTTGCCACATTCAGACTACATTAGAATGTAATAGAGATATTCAGGATAGTTCTATACATTCAACTTTGAACAGAGAGAGAATATGTGAACTAACCGATCACATCAGAAAGCCTTAATTAATGTAAAAGTAATCGATGTGATTTTGGAAAGGAATTACACAGGGTAATTTTCACATGTCACAAAAGTGTCTGGCAATTTCGTGCAGGCGTGTCAGTAGAGAAAAAGAGACTTAGCCTTTGCATAAATTTGTTTAAATGACCGTAGATGACTTCGTTTTAAGCCCCATTAGTTCCTATAATCCTCATATTCACTCTACCTCAAAGTACTTTGTTAGAAATCATGTCGGTGTCAGTACTCAGATCCACGAACTCCGTGAAATGGTTGACATTAGTGAGTACAAACTACCACACTTGCACAACTGATTTAAATGAATTCAAGATCCACGATTTACCACTCGCCTAATAAGAGGTTTTAAATAATGGACTTTTTACAGATTATTCGCTCAATAAATTCTTTCGTTTAACTCATATCGTATAACCCAAACATTCAATCGCTATTAGCCTTTACATCACCTTGAGTGTAGTTACGTTTAATCAATACGGTCTATTCTATATGCATCATCAGACTTTCTTTCTGTAAGAAAGTTAAATCCTTCATTTTCTGCTTAGCAATACGGCTGAAATGTTGATAACAACGAAGTTTGTTCTCCGATTCAGCAGCTACAACAACACTGTTTATTATGCGGTAATTGTAAGTAGACAACATCTGATTCAACGATAGATGTAACCTAGCAAAAGTGTCCTTACAAGACATCAGCTAACCATTGCTGAAAGAAGCCTGCTTTCAATGAATATTACAAGAAAAAGCATGTTCGCTGATAGCATAACATGGATCATTCAGGCAGTAGACTCCTGTGCGATGACCTTCTAACCAGGTGGAAGTGATTCAATAATCTACAGTCTCATATTACAACCGGAAGGTGATGAGTTTAAACCATGGGGGTGAGGAACTGCTGAAGAGTCCCAAAGTGGAGGAAAATAGCCATGTAGTGCTTCCTTGTCTTTTACTCATTCTTTAACTTGTGTCCTGCCCAAACTCGAAAGTAATCAGATCTCGATAAAGTCAGTCTTTTTGAAACACAAAATGTGATTTGATGATAGGTGTGCCCTAAGAAAAGCTGATTCCACTTATAATTATGATATTCAGCTTTCTATATCTGATAAAAGCTTAACTCAAGCAATTTTAACAATGGAAAGTGTGTCCATCAATAGCTCTGCTGAAGTGTTCTGCACCCATACGTTATCAATCACATTTGCAAACATTACTAAATTACCTGGTCCACTCCGAATTCCATTTAGAAGTCGGTAACGTGAGGCATTTCACTTAAATCAAACGGATTATTAGCTTGGATTCACGTGAGGCACGTGATTGTTCCATTCAATCTCACTGCTGCATTTTCATCTCATGACTCTCTGGAGTTTTACTTTGTCAGAGTAGCAAGCAGGTGATTACCTTCACCTTAGTGTTTATTTTCAGCGCTCAGAATGTCACATTAATAGAAACAATCAAGTTAGGTTTTAAGTGGTATAACCGCTTATTTATTACTAAAAATGACAATTAAATATACGTCAGAGTAAAAAAAACAACGTGTAGAATAATTTATGAAAACAGTTAATTCAGTGTAATGACATAAACAAGCTGAACCTATTTTTATCACTTTAGCAAATATGTCTCCATGCTGAGGAACGATGATCAATTTGTCATATATATAAGCTGAGTGGAGTTTGTTAATTCTGGTTTAATGATAAACAACAACGGTACCGTTTTGTTTTTCATTCATTGAGAAATACTTTTAACAAAAATACTGTGTGGAGACATACTATGATAAAATTTAAAATTTAATTTTAAAAGGTCTACGTGTCAGTATATATGAAATGCTTTTGCAGAACTTTAACAGTAAAAGTTTGTAGTATTCGTCTCATATTATCATGAATTACTATTGTAACAACAGAAGACAAGGACCGGCAACAGATCGTTTATTACGGAAATCAGCACGTATTTATATATATATATATATATATATATATATATATATATATATATATATATATATATCATGTACATTATTGTAGCTTATTCAAGCAGACAAACGCAGTCTTCTGATTGCTTGTCTCTTGCTCAAAGTTATTTTGTACTGCTTGTAACTGGTTTCTCAGAAAGTTAAGCCATATATCTGTGAATCGTATTTGCCCACGTTAAGTCTGCTGTGATTGTTTGTTGAATCAGCCTTGTTCATGTTTTCTCACAACCAATATTAGCGACATTGACAATGACGTAAATTAATGTCTACCAATTGGCTAGCAGCCTGCTCGCACTACACTTTGGATTGTTTGTCTTCAGAGTGGCCTATGTCGCTTCAGTGTTACTTTCTAACTTTACTCTGTTTTCTGATGTCATTTGCAACTGACTACGTAATTAGTTACTGGAGCTGACGTTGGTTAGAGAACCACTGGAAAACCTGGGAGTACTGCACAGCTGTTTCGTCCTAGTTTGAGACTCTTTATAAGTGCGCACTCACCGGGGTTCGAACCCAGGACCTTCTGGTTACAAGGCAAGCTCGTCGACTATTGAGCCACTGGGACCCGATCCAAGGGCCCATGGCTAGCGGTTGCGCTATATCGTGAATTGACAGCAGTTGGAATTCATGGGTCATTGGAACAGGTTCCAGTGGCTTAATGGTATACGAGCTTGCCTTGTAACCAGAAGGTTCTGGCTTCAAACCCCGGCAGGTGCGTACTGTGAAGAGTCCCAAACTAGTACGAAACAGCTGTCCAGTATTCCGAGGTTTTCCAATGGTCCTCTGACCAATTTCAGCTCCTGATAAAATCCTTTAACAAATCAACCAAATCCTTACAAACCAATACTTGAATATGGCTACATAATTGCCCGTAAACTTCAATTTTCTCTTCACAAGATCCCTCCGATGATGATTCGAGATCCACTCAATGGCCTGAGATGCGACATCACTTAAATATCTTCTTCTCAGTATTACTTCAATCCATCGCCATTTCTTTCTGCATATTTGTAAGGTGATAATTTCTTGGTTGATTTACTGCTCACCTGAGTTTCTACTCCAACCAACCATCCGGCTTTCAACGCCATGTAAAAGAGGCAGTTGTTGATGAAAGTCTAAAGTAGCGGTTGTTCGAAAATATTTCAGTGATGCTTGCTCCAATTTTCTGAGTGCAGTGAATCATTTTCTTGATTTTAGAATAGTGGATGACTGCGTTGATGGTGATTGTGTCAGTTGACTGATGTGCTTATTGATGGATCTCCGAGAATGCCTTAATGGTTACCTTCAAGAATATTTTGAAACCTTTCATTATGAGTGCAGTCAGCTGTAAGCTATTACGCAGCTATACCATGGAAATCACCAAAGATTGTGATTCTAGTAAAACATTGTAAGGCCTCTTTGGTCAAAAAATACCGAAGTAAAAGATGATTCATAGAAGGTAATGTTACGTTTATTTCATACAACTAAGCTTGAGCAATACGTCAAGCTAACTGTGCGTTTCATATTCACCGAAAACACCTCGTACGAGCTGTAAATTGATATCGTTTCAATCCTAGCAAACATTACCATAAACATCTTCATGGAAGAGATCGTAGACATCCTCTTAAGCTGTTACATTTTTCACACTACTATTGTTTAAACGACCAAAGATGAAGAAAAAAATGTTGGTCCCTAACAGTACAGTAATGTTTAAAACGGATACATGCACCAGAAATTAGTCATCACCAACACAACCCCCATGTATTTCGTTATTGTAAATCTTGTTGTACATCGGAAAAGTTGTGTTAATCAAAATACTCCTTAGATATACTGCATTTTAAAGCATGTGTGATTTTCCCAACTATCAAAAATTACTAATATAAATTATTTAGTCGAACTTTTCCTGACGATTGATTGGACCGAAGTGCTCGAGCACAGGTTGACATGTCGGCTTCTCGTGCAAATGCTTCGATGACGTCTGAACATGTACTTAGAAGTTAATCGGTGGATGTTGGTTAGCAGTGGAATCCAGGATGCGCATTTCGTCTTATTCGGGACTCATCAGCTTGCATTCCCCAGTGAGGCTCGAAACTATGGGCACTGGGTTTGATCCTCGGTGGGAACATCACCACTCACTGAGGAATGCAGGTACATCCAGATGACGAGTCCCAAATAGTACGAGATGCGCGTTATCCTGGATTCCACTGCTAGTCACCATACACCAATTAAATAGTATTATAAATTACTTAAAATAATCCCAGAGTGTTTAAGAAAAATCAGAAAAAGATTTTTCTGGACCTTTCACTGCGGAAGCCACAGCTTCTTCAGCAGAACTATTCGGATTTTATTAATCAATAAAATATTTAATCACAAATACTGAAACCGCTTCAATACAATATTGCTTCGAACACTCAAACTATTGTGGAGTTTGAAAGGAAAGTAATGGACATAACTATTGAAGAAGACGAAATTTTGGCAAATTCTAATGTGATTTCTCTATTTACTAGTATTCTTCTATGTAATTCGCTTCATAGTATGAAATATGAACTTGCAGACAATCAGGAAATATTAGCTAACTCATCACCATCGATAGAAGACTATATAAAATGCTTAAGACTCTGTTTGGAATCTACATATTTTACCTCTGAATACAAAGTATGCTGTCAGACAAATGGAGTTGCAATGGAGTCACCAGCATCTCAAATTATAGCAAACCTGTAAATGAAAGCTCTAGAAAGAAAAGCACTGATAAGGTTTAGTTGTCATCCTAGAATATAATACAGATAGATATGTAGATGACATATTTATCATCATTAAGAAAGCTGAAAAAGAAAACTTTCTAACAGAAATTAACTTAATCTCAGAATATAAAGAGATTACTAATACTGTAGAATCTGCTGAAGGAAATCTAAACTTTCTTGATTGTCTTGTAAAAAAACGGACAAACTGACGAGAAACGAAAGTTTACAATATACAGAAAATCGACACATTCCAACAAGTATCTGAATTTCCAATCAGATCATCCAATAGGAATGAACGTTTCAGTAGCTTTAAATTTCGTTATAACAGACCTTGAAACATTATAACAGATAATGATGAAATGGGGAACGAGATACCTGAAATATAAAACAAATTTTAATCAGAAATCATTATCCGAAAATTCGTAACATCTACGATCTGGAAACTTACAACCTTATCAGTTTTTACCCGTTAGTTGTCACTTTTAAAACAGTTTTAACCATCATGACAGCACTTAAGATGTTTCATTATATTTTATATTTGAAGGAATCGAGAAATTCTATGAAGACGAAAAAGCGTAAGATTCTATTATTATTATTATGATTCAGATTTTATAAACTGTTTCGCAAGAATGAAATTGCCGTTAATTTTTTTCGATTTTTATTCACTTAACTCTACTGCTTATCGGCATTTTAACAAAGTCTGTAAAACACAAAATGATGGAGAAAAGAATACCATTTTTTAAAATAATATTTATTTGTAAAGTAAGATCTCAATGGAGTTACAGTTCATTAAAGATGTTTAAACTCTAAAAATAACAAAGATATAGTAACAAATAGAATATCAACTAAAATTAGAAAAATTCCACAAAAATTCAGGATCGTTCAAACCTAGATGGCCATGGTAAGGATAATATGTGAACCAACAAACTTCTTTTGGATGCAAAAATTAGGCTTCTTGATGTGGATCCCAACAGCCAGCCTCAGCAATATTTAGTGGGCGAACTCTTAAGGCGAAAATAAGATTCGTAGGTATGTGATGAATGACCCTGAAATCATGATTAACGTCAGTCGTGTGTTCTGTATCCACGAGATGAGATAGAATAGCGCTACGAATAGATTTTGTTTATCTTTTGCCTAACCACGCAGGAAATTCGGCGAGAAACACGCCTAATTGTACGGCCTATGTAACTGCCTCACTCCACAGGAGCAGTTTAATTGGTAGATACACATTGAAGAGGCGAAATTAAGCAGTTTGTATTTTACTCTCAAACGCAAAATATGAGTGGTTTGAAGATACAGCGAAATTTGGCAGCAGAGAATGCTTTTTCACCTCATTTCTAAGGCGCTGTGTTAGTATCTCGCTGGTGTTGTCTCCAAGGTACTGCATCTGTAAGAATAAGGCCTTTTTAGAACTGTTGGTAACTTGGGCTGCTTTGGTTCTAGATTCATATTCTTATCAATAAACTTTTCAGGATAGCCATTCTCACTTAGCAACCGTTTAATATTACTCAGTTATTCGTCAAGACATTCGTCTGAGCAAACGCTCTTGCTCTGTGAACCAGGCACTTCATCAAATTGCGTTTGTATTTCGAGGGCACAAAACTGAACAAAAGAGTATACTTACCAGCTGATGTAGGTTTTCCGAAAACACTTCTTCTTATTGGGCCATCCTCTTTTCTGGTCATAAGATCGTCTGGAAATGAAACAATAGAGTCTTTTTGTCTCTCTATAGTGAAATTAATTGCAGGATGAACCTTGTAAAATTTTCCCAGGATGTTCTTTGCTTCCTTCTCATTTTTCATAATCACAAATGTATCATTCATGTACTGACAACAGAATTCCAGTTCATTAATAGCATCTTTCTAAGGTCCATTTTCTAGTTTCGCAGTATTCTATGTATATAAGCATACATATAATTGTAGAGCCAGAAGAGGAATTTATCGAAAAGGATATTCTTCGCTCAATCATTTTGTGTTTTATAGAAGTCTATCAAATCCACTTATGGTTGGACACTAGTCAGTAACTGGTGTAATGTCTGTTTGTCTAGTCTTGTTTTTTGATGAAGACTGAAATCTATCACTCAAGTTTGCAATGTGGCCAGCACGCCACTAGGTGACTCTATGAATTGTTGGTACTAGATGGTTACAGGCAATCGGTATGAAGCCTAGGACTGTAGCACTGGATGATGTGGCTTCGAATCTCAGAAGAGACATGAGTTCTGTCAGAGGGGCAGATACGCCTTGCTGACTGGTGAGTGCTAACTAGTACGAAACCTAGGCGGTGTCCAAGGTTTCCTGGTGGTTGCTCCCAACCATCTATAAAATTCAGCTGCTAGTGAATAAAGGGCAGTGACTTCAGTGAACTCCACTATATTGTTCCATTTTCTACACGCATATTTTTTAAAGCCGTCAGAGTAGAAGTTATTTTAACAGCAAATAAACGCTAGAATATTGGCATTTTCATAAGAATGATGGACAGACTGACTGAGTTTCTTTACCAAAAGTTTCACAGACGTATGGCACTTTAAGTTGTAACACTTCATTTAGAAAACAAAGAAGGAAAAAGACCTATAATGAGCAGAAATATACAAAAAAAGAATAGTAACATGGAAAATCGTAAGAAGTCTGGAAGATTTCGAAGGGAGAAATTATTTGTGCCATTTAGGCCGCTATTAAGTTATTTTATCTGCAGTCTGTATTAATTGTTTTTTTGAAGTCTCGAGGACTCTAATCAGGCAGTCATGCTTTGGTTTATCCAAACTTACTCGCTTTTGAGCATAATCTTACGTCAGCTAACATCATTGGATGCGAAAGGCAGTGATGTGGCACATATAACACGTGTCCTAGCCATCTCAGTCGGTGTAATTTCACAACCTAATCCATGTATACTTTAGGGGTTAAGTGAATGGATTCAGAGAGTTCACCACACAAACTAGAATTAACTACCTCTTAAGTAAACTAGATTTCAATAAACTGATTTAGGCAATATTTAAATTGCATTCGCATTAGATAATCGCATATTCTACTTTCATTTCACGGTAAATTTTATAGCTAATAGTTGTCGTTATATGTCGGAGTGTATTCAAAGTTAAATGATCCTTCAACAATTCACAATAATGTGACATTAAACTGCATAAATTTCCGTCTAAGTGGTAATAATTAGAGGAGTTACTTTTATTATTGGTTGGTGGATACGCGTTTACTCCACTGTCAGCGCCTATCATTTCAAACACCATCCTGATCAATGCGAAATAAAAAATCAACTCGAATCATTAACGTGGCTGTTTAATATCTAATTCCTAATTGTTCTAACTTTCAGCTGGTTTGAGTAAGTGGATTTTCCAAACGTTAATTTTGAATACAATGGCGGTGGCATAACAGCAATAATTGACAGAAGACACTACTTTTTTTCATTACATTATCTGTAAACTATAGGGTGGGTTTGTCTAACAAAGACTGCCACCTTACAATCTTTTAATTTGGTTCTAAAAATTTTATTCACACCTGGTGTTTAACAATATCCTGGAAAACGTTTTGAGATACATACACAAAAGTCACACTGTTGTAGTAAATAAGAACTCAAAAATATATTGCATACTTATATGATTGGTACATGATGCATATAAAGCATCGTGTTATTACTGCAAAGTTAGGTAAACTTTAGGCCTAAATCGCGAAACAACTTGCAATTCACGGGTTAGGCTGCTCGCAGGTATAATGCGTTTTGCCAAGTGTTAATAAGGAACGCATAACAAAACCACGAAGAACCTATCGACTAACATATACGCACAGGAAAGACCGCTGAGCGACCATATATGAGGCCTTCAGGTTTAATCCTAACTAGAAATTACTAATCAGGCCTCAAAGAGCGGCCAGATGGAGATCATGTATTTACGAAATTAAAGCTTACAGACTGTCGAGATGCTAGCTAGAAAAAACCCCATGGAACAAATTCCCTATGGAACACCACTCGGAGCACAAGCGAAGAGATAATTCGAGAAAGACGAATGATTATGCTGATATTCTATGTCATACTTATGTAAACTTATTATATTGAAACAAACACAAGGACCTCTGAATTCGCCTAATGTAAACAGCAAACATCTTGATTTTACTATTTCACAATAAAACTGGATTCTGACTTCGTGGGGGGGGGCATGAGCTCCTTTTAAGGTTTCGGAGAAACTATGATGAAGATTGCCAACAAGCACGCAACCAAGGTCATGCAGGGATTCCTCCTGACTTTTTCCAACCACCTAACATCATTTCATAGTTCATTGAGACGGTGAACCATCAAGTTTGTTGACCGTATTGCAAACGTGAATGATAAATTACCAAGCTATGGACCAGACGCATTGCACTAGTTTCTGATTACTGACCCACCAACGTTGATCTATTATTAATGGACAGTTGGAGGTGTTCGTGAGAAATCCTGCGGCTAGGATTACATCTAATCAGGATTTAAAATAGGGGGGTATGTGTTATCAATATCAATATGTTATCAATATCATGAAGCCAGAAATATTACCATTGTGGACACATCTCTAACAACAGTTTTAGGTGAAGTGAGGTCAAATATCAATGGGTATCAGGTCCATTTAGAGTTACGTATATGCTTCGATTTTGAAGAATGATGAGCATGAAATACTGACCATAAACCATCTTATCCACATTTGATGTGAACCGCGATCGGGTCTTCTTAGCGTAATGATCACACAACATACTTCAAAACAAGTGTTCAGCCAGTTATAATATTGATGCCTAAATGCAAATAACCGGTTTTATACAACACAATAGACGTCCATTTATACCCTATATCATCAATTTGTTGCACATCATAGTTTTAGTACGGAAATACTTTTGTTCCTAATTAGAAGCAGCTGGACCAGATGGAATGCCCCTTAAAGCACTGAAAGTGGACCCATCATATATGCTGACTCCATTATTGCAAAAGGTCTGGAAGGAGGGAAAGGTGACTACTGACTGGAAGAAAGGTTACCTCGTGAGACTACCAAAGAAGGGCGACTTAGGACTCTGCAAGAACTGGCGAGGAATCATGCTCCTATCGACGCCAAGTAAAATCCTGAGTCGCATCATCCTGGAGAGATTAAAGGACGCACTGGAGACAGAACTCCAACCAGAACAAGCTGGATTCAGGAAAGGCTAATCATGTACTGACCAAATTGCAACTCTATGCATCATCATCACAGAAGAAAGCATGGAATGGCAATCGAACCTCTACCTCAACTTTAAAGACCTTGAGAAGGCCTTTGACAGCGTTGACCGCGAAGTAATTTGGAAACTAATCGAGTACTACAGCGTACTCCAAATATTCATCAACCTTATTCAACAACTGTACGACAACGGCACATGTCAAGTGATCCACAACGGAAAACTTAGCGAGGCGTTTGGAGTAAACACAGGAGTCAAACAAGGGTGCTTATTATGTATCACCAATGATATTCCTAATTGTGGTGGACTGGATTATGCGTCAGACATTGGGAAACGAGAAGACAGGGATATCCTGGACCGACGTAAAGAACCTAGAAGACCTGGATTTTGCGGATGATTTATGTTTGATGTCACACACAATCGAAGACTTACAAGCGGAAACAGACAAACTGGTCGAAGAAGCAGCCGGCGAAGACAGGACTCCAGGTGAACATAGACAAGACGAAGGTTATGAAGATTAACAACCAACAACAACAACAGCAGAAACATGCGTGATTTGAGGGAGGTTACTTCATTCACTTGTCAAACAGAGGAGGAACGGACTACGTTGTCAAATCGAGAATCGAGAAGGCCAGAAACACATTCATCAATCTGAGACCAATCTGGAAATCTTCGTCACTCAAAATCAACAACAAAATTCACTCGGATTTTCAATACAAACGTCAAGTCACTCAGCTCTTCTATACGGATCAGAAACTTGGCTGGCGGGTCACAAAGAATATTTCCAACAGCCTATTGCAGAACTTTATCAACAGTTGTCTTCGCTCCATACTGAAGATCACATGGCTGGGCCGGAAATAAACACCAATAAGACACTATGGGAACAAACAAAACAAGAACCAGTCGCTTACCCAACAAATATGCAGGAGAAAGTGGAGATGCATTGGACACTCGCTGATGAGGCTTCTGGGTGACATCGCGCGATTGTCAGGCCATTGCTCGATTGGAACCCGAAAGGGAAGCGGCGAGTGGTTCGTTAGTGCAAGGGTGATATGAAGGAGATCGTGGGAAGAGGAGTTAAAACAGTATGATCTAACTAACATGGATGCAGGTGTAAAATACACTGTCAGAAGACAGAAGCAAGTTGAGACGTGCAGCTGAAGTCCTGTGTTGCACTATGAACCCAAGGGAACAATAATAAAATTTTTCAACTTAGGCCAGGGTGGCAAAAGAGGCAGTTACAGGCAAAGACTTAGTAAAGGTGGGGTAAAGAAGTAAATTCTACCTTATCTTTTTTTCTGTCTCTTCATTATTATTATTATTATTGTCTTTCCAATTGTAATATTTTACATTTTCAACTTTCTTGTTCTCTATCCCCACTCGATTTAATTTCGACACCTCACTACCACTGTAACTGACTTGATTAACGCTCAATTTCTAGTCATTTATGTTACATCATCCAAAATATTTGCTTGATTTCAGTTCTAATTTAAATGGCATTATTGTCTACCTCACTTTTACTTAGTCTCTAAATGTAATTACTTCTGTTGCTACCCTGACCTAAGTTGAAATATTTTAATCAATTATATTACGTCATCTAACTTGCTAACAAACTCAATATTACTTTAGTTGCTGTCTGATTAACCTTGTTTTTATATTAGATCATTCTTGTATTGCCTGATCAATTATCTAAACTTGGCAAACTTCATGTACACACACACACTTACAAATAATTATATATAAATACGATTGTACAGCTATGTGAGTGAATTCGCCAAAAAAAGTTATTCTCCCCTCTCTACCCCCACTACTATCCACACTCTACCTACATACTTCACTGATTAGATTATGCAAACAATTGAATCAATTTATCCTTGTTGCTATTTATACGATCAACTCGATTGTTATGCACAATATATTCACATCCCTCAACTCTACTCTGATTCTATATTCTATCAAACACATTAATTCGAATGTCCGTGACAAATTATTCATCATATAAATGTAGTAAACCTGATACAAATTTACCGAAAATGCGTATTAGCTTGCTTAAATCAAGTTCTAAAATTATCTGCGCAAACATTTCAAATCACTTGCGTCAGTGGATTGCAGATACAATAAATGCAATTTTTACCATTTTTTTTTCAATCTCATGTGACAATTGACTTACTGCGTCAAGTCTGTATAACGTTATCTGAAAATTTCAGGTCCTTAATCGATAAAGTTGTTAGGTGTGAAACAGTGAATTTTTACGTCTTTTTGTACAATTTTAATATGAAAAACGCCACCAAATCAAGTTATCTCAAATAGCTGTAATGACTGATTAGTTGTGCATGTCATACCAACATTTTTCATCTGATAAGTAGCCAGTAATATGAAAGATAACAAATTCCTCTCGTCAGTTGGTGCCACCTCAACCTCTTGCAATCAGAATAATGAAATTTACTAGTTATGTTACAGTTTTGATAAATTTTAGTCGACTGAAGAAACCTACTTTGCCTCGTAGAGAAACATAGGGCTTCAACGGCACGTCTCCATTGCGTTCGGTTCTCCGCCCAGTATTCCCATATGATTTCATCTCCTCTTCGCATCATCTTATCTCTTATGTAATGTTCATACTGACGAGCAACTCGCCACTTCCCATTCGGATTCTACTAGAGCTATGCCTAGCGTGTGATGTCACTCACTTGATGTTTTTCTTAGAGAATGACCAATTCACTTCCATTTCTTCCTGCATATATTTGTTGCATAATTGGTTTCTGGTGGGGTGGTTCGTTCATGGCAGAGATCCCGGTAGGCCTATGTTCGATGCTTCTTCTGCCAACTTGTTGATTTTCATCTGGATATCATCCAGTTTGTGATAAATCAGACATAGATAAACGGTGAAAACCAGATCTTCCAGGTTTCGTGTGTGTGTGTGTATGTGTTGATTTAACCGATATAAGGGTAGAAACTGAGCACTGCGGCAGAGTATATCGTCTTGAATGATAAAATTATATTTTGATAAATCACACAGTGTTGTTACACAGTAATATTAACTAATGACCACCTTTCGAGCACAAATTATTGCTCATTATCATATCAAGGTACTCACACATTTTTCTTGCTTCATTTATATACATGATTTAAAATTCCGAAAAGTAATATAGGTAGGTGGAGTAAGAGAGAGATTGATTACTGGTTCATCCTGTCTATACCCAACACATGCAATAAAAGTGACTCAGTCCAAATACCAGAGATATTGAAGATACTATTACCACCAGTCAGTCAAATCATTATAAGAAGTTATTCAGTTATTTTGACTATAAAAACATCTAATTTCTCATCTTATTGTATTTGATTGATAACACTAATATTATTTCGAAATGTACTTCATTTTATATTGATTTTGCGCAAATATCTAATCTTCAAGTTTTACTCATGTATATAAATGAAGCAAGAAAGTTGTCTTGATGTGGTTATGAGCAGTATTGATAAATTGTGCTCGAAACATGGTCATCAGTAAATGCTACTGTATAATGAATACTGTGTGACTTTGTCAGTATTAAATTTTATCCAAAATGGAGTTATACACATATAGTTATGTGTTTGCGCGTCGATGGCACAGAGGTTAGGACGCTAGCCAAACATGCACATGGTCCGGAGTTCGATCCCCGGCCGATGCACTTTTTTCCCTCTCTAAGCTGGTAAAGAGTAAAGGTTGGGCATGAGGTTAGCAACTCCATCCTGTAAAATTCAACACTGCTACGGAAACTTCAAGCCACTAGCTGGAGGCCCCATGTTCCACCATGAACGTGAAGGAAAAGGAAGTTATGTGTTCGATGTTATTTCAGTCATTTGATAACTAGTTAGACTGCATTCTAGCTAGATAGCATCATGTTTTATTGTGAAATGCATTAAATAGTATCATAATTAAGCGTTAGATCTGATCCTATCACAATGATTTTTTTTTCGGTGTTGAAGATACTTAAAGTCATTGCATTCTGTCTTCCTCAGTTTTGTACCAATCTGAAACAAAGTCAATTTGGTCAGATGCCTCACAAATAGAGCAATACGTATCTGTACAAATGACTCCCTCCTACATGAGTTAGGATACGTCCAAAATACGCTGGTCCAAATGGGTTATCCTAGTAGATTTGTAAAGAGACAGGCACATGAACAACAATTACATTAATGAGAAACTGACTACAGTAGACAAGAAACAACTGTTCATGAAATTGCAATTTAATGGACACGTGGCTAGGGGAGCCTTACATCTGAGATTATCGAGAGCGATAAAACGGACTTATGCTGTCGCCACCCTTTGTTTGTCATTTTCCAGCTGCCGATCAATTATGATTGTTTTTAATTATTGTTAACAAACTTATCGCCACTTGACTGGCAAACTGTTGTATTGTAATTAAAATGCTATATATATTAGAGTACAGCCGAAGATGAGGATCTAATTCGAAAGTAAATATTTCTTCGCTCAATCTTTCTGTTTTCTAAATTATGATTGCTCAAGTGACAGATAAGCTACCTAACTGTGCCACATCTAAGTGTATCTATAAATTTAGTCGCTCCTGTGCAGAAAGCAGCTATATAGGGCCAACAACTAGACAGCTTAACAAACGCATTAATGAGCATCTTCCTTCATGGTTCGGAAAAGGTCAAACAAAATCCACACGAAGTTCTATTTTGGCTCATTTGATTGATGATAGCGGTCACCAAGTGGATAGAAATGGTGCTTTCAAAGTTATCTATCGCATTCCATCAAGTCTTTAGAACGGAATCATAACCCGTCTTTTCACCTAGCCAAAGCTATGGGGATTAATTCAAGAGAACAATCCTAGTCTTTGCATAAAATAAAAGAATTTTGTTCTACCTTTGTCTCTCCCTTGGTTAGCCTAAGTGAATTCTATTCAAAACCCTCCCACTCTTTCTAATCATCCATCTCCTTCGTACTTTTTTAATATTTATTTAAACTCTGATTATCGTTCCATTTCACCTTTTAAGATTTGACCTAATTTATTTATTTATTGAATTGTCGACATATACACACATATATTACTACCTTTGTTATTCTTATCGCCGCCTGCATAAACCTTATTATCAATATTTTGTTATCATTATGATCATCGTTATTCATTACGTTCAAAACATTTACCACATTATTATTATCATTATTATTATTTGATCCACACTCTCACCGTCATTGGTTTAAATTTTTATATATAAATCTATGTAAATCAGAGTAAAGCCTGAAGAAGATCCATTTCAAAACAACAATATTGTTCGCTTATATGTCTTGTTCTAAAATCCCACTTAGTCGTATTCTAATATTATATTTGTCTCGACTTGTATTAAAACATATATGTTTCAGGTTTGCCAAAAACGCCATGAAGTAAGTATTTCCATTTTCCATTCATGTAGAAGGATTCCTGTCATACTATCCTGCAAGATTTCCAAATGTAACGTTTACTTCTTTGAAAAGTCAACAAATGCTTAGCTGGTAGATACCAGGAAAAAATGATGAATACAAATTTTCCAAACCTGAATTTATTTGCTTCTCGTTTTCGCCTAACGTGAACTGTAAACATTACTCATGTACGCTAAAAGCAGTTGTTTATCATAAACAGCGAGACAGTAAACTGTTTGAAGAAGGAGTTGAACTTTGCATATATTTTATTTCAAAGCCTCACATAAACTACAGCTGAAAATCGACAAATTTGCAGAGGATGCCTTGGAGACATGACTTCAGAAGTGATAGAGGTAATAAGAATACCTGAGCAATAACAACCACCTCCAGGCATCCTAAATAGACAGAGTGTATGAGTAGTCACAGCTTTGACTTATCTGTTCAACACTCTTTCAAATACAAGAGGTGCAAATCAGAATCCGATAGGCATGAAGGACGTTGATTTTTTCTGAAATGATTCAGTGCAATAAACAAGATCTTAATTTTCAACTCTAGTGTTAAACAAAATGCTCCTTTATGGTTCAGAGACTTGATGCATCCCCTGGACCATTTTATCTGGGCTACTGGAAAATTCCATAGGACGCCCTCCTCCTTAATTCAATATCAAATAATGTACTTTCATCAACCACTGCCTTTGCTATATAAACTGAAGGTGGATTGGCCAGTCAGAATGGATAAGCAAACAACAAGGAGCTCTTATTAATATATGTGTAAACATGCTCAAGCCAACATCAACAATAAGGAATCTAAATCATCAGTAGTAATTCCATACAAGGAAGGAAAGTCGGAAACCTTACGTAGAACTCTTAACAATACAGGCAGGAATAAATGTGGCTGCCATTGAAACTCACAAACTCAATTAGAGACAAGCTTTGTCGGTTAAAGGATCCTGTGGAATAACACATCAAACAAAACAATTTAGTTTACCTAACACCGTGCTTGCAATGTTTGTCAGGTCAAATACATAGGTCAAAGTAGAAAAACAGGGGCAGTCACACCAGCGAAGCATATAAACCTAGCTAAATCTAGATTGGTTGACCTAAGTACGACAATAAATCTAGAGAAAAATTCAGCTAAAGCAATACATGCAATTACACGAAACCATACAATAGGATGGGATAGGATAAGATGACCATTTTGAAATCTATTGTCAAAGGGTGGAGGGAGAGCTCTATAACAGAAACCTTTTTTATCGAACCAATTGTAGACACATGTAATAGGAATAATTCAACACCTGTCCCCGATATCTGGAAAATTCTACTTCTCCTACGACAAGCAGGAGAGGACAAAGAATATAAAACTCAAGTTTTGAAGTGATTATAACCGATATGATTATGAACAATAATAGATTGTGTTCGATACGTATTCCAGTAAATATTACTGTTTTATTGTGTGATTTATTAATTAACCAACTAATATGGAACAAGGAGCTCTGACATCGAACCAGAAGAAACTAGGACGAAACAGCTGTTCAGTACTCCCAGGTTTTCCAGTGGTTCTCTAACTGATGTCACCTCATGATGTAATCCTCTATACAGTCAGACAATATCCCTACAAACCCAATACTAGAATATATGAGAAAGCCGATGAATGACGTCAGGAACAAGCCCTCGATTAGAACCCTTATAGTAAACAATGTGCTGAGCATTGGCGATAGTGTGATCTTGTGAAAGATTATTCAAAATCTTAGAGTCAACTGTAAACAGCTCCAGAGAATAGAGGAAAACCGCAGCATGCTGTTGCTGCCCTATATTCAGCTAAGAACTCAAGTGGAAATTAACCTTAATATCCATAAGTAGCCTGACCAAAATTGTTACTATCAACCTGGAAGCATTCACCGGGCGGAATATTTCTGAATTACTGTAAATTCATTTGAATGCAGGTCTATGACTTCCTTCTGATCATTTTCAGCCACTCAACACCAAAGTATATCACACTGGATATGTTTGCTGGTGACGTTTCAAGCACAATTTGATCCCCAGTGGTATCGTGGATGTGTACCGCTGAAAAAAGGCAAACTAGAGCAAGACAGCTTTCCAGTGATCTCCTATTGAAATGGGTTGATGATTTAATTTACATTACAATACATATATATGCTTATTAGTAGTATGATAGTGAATAAACGAAAAGGAATTTTTTTTGTGTATCTAAATTGTACATTTTTAAACATTTTGTTTTGTTAAATGTAGGACATTACTAGGGAAAATGTGGTAAGTTATATTTCCTAAGAAGATTTCTAATTGTCATATGCATTGATTATTTTACATGTTTCTTTTGAGTAGAGATTGAAAAGAAAAGCATTTCCTTTCCGTGACGCCTTTTCTAAGGATTCGATAGTGTTTTAAACCTGTGCAAGATTCATGACCTGAAGTGTGGTTCACTTAACTATGGTAGTTTGAAATAAATCAGAACCCTAAGTAGAATCCTTAATATGGCAGGAATTACATTGGCATTTAAATCTACAAACTCACTCAGAGACAAGCTCTGTAGGTTAAAGAACCTATTTGATGCAATTAGACGAAGTAATGTAATTCATAAAATATGTTGCAATAACTATGAACTATGTGAACGGACGACACACTCTATTACTTGGCTTAGCCAGTAATAACACTGGTAAATGGAGAGGTTGGGCATGAGGCTAGCGACCCTATCCAGTGAAAATAAACACCACTGCTATCGAAATTTCAGAGCTCTAACCTGAAGCTCTATGTTCCACTCGAAAGTATAGGAATCTAAAACTAAATTGAGCCAGGCGACTTAATTTCTTTGGCAACAATGTTTGAATTTCCTCTGTAGATCCGACCCAAAGAGATCGATGGATCACCTTTGTGTACGTGTGATTGCCTATACAATTAAATTGGCAAACATAGTGAGATGTGAGACTATCCTTTAGATGCATTGAATGTTATAATCACACTTTATCAGTGGAAATGGGTTAGTCTGCATAGTCACATGGGAATCTTATTTAGCGATAGTCAAAATCTTTGTTGATCACCGTTAGGCAACTAATACGATTAAATTTGGTCAAGGTTTTACTAGCATTTTATAAACATTAGAGGATAAATGTCAACTAATAATATTTTAGTAAGATTTTGTATTACTTCTTCAATGGTATCCTTGGTACATATAAGGTGGATGAGTCTGGAGGAGCACTAAGTTATTGACATTTTATGCAGGAGTGAACAGAAACTGTCTTAATTTAGACACTGTGTGCTGCCGACATAGGTGATGATACCCAAGGACGATAAACCATCTTGATTTCCTTATACATATGCAATAAAATACTACAAAAAACCTTTCCACAATGAAACTGTCGTTATCGTAAGAAATAAGGTTATGCAACGGTTCCATGAGCAAAACACCTTTTTCTGTAAATGTTAAATAAACACATAGATCAGAAAAGAGACTATTTTCGGCGAAATCATTTTCTTAGCTGTACAATCGCAAATATATATGTGTTATTTTGTATGTATGTGTACATTAAGTTTGTCAAACAAAATTACAATTGGTTAAGGTTATTTTAACTAAACAGGTGAAGGTTGGTAATACAAGTCAAGAAAACTAGATGTTAGTGAAATTAGGGTAGTAACAAAGGTGATGAGTTGTCGCAAACAGTTGTTAAAGAAGTTATGTAATAATATGAATAATTTGATGAGTGAGTTTCACTCAGGATGCACATAGAAACAAAGTAGAGAATACGAAATTACGTAAGAGTTCTAAATGAATACAAGAATTATAGGCAATTAAAGAACAGGCAAAGAAACAAAATTAAGCTACCAAAATAAAAAAAATCAAATAAAAAAAGTTGTTATTATGACAGTAGAGGTGGTTGAGTAATCTTCTTTTGTATGCACAATTCCGGGTTTTCTACGTGAGTGGCCAGAGCCTCAGCAATACAACGAAGATGAAAGCGTATTGCCTTTATAAGGTTATTCATGGCTCTGTAGTTTACTTTGAAGGCGTTTGTTGAAATGGAATGATTAGTGGTAACTAGGTGTTCAGTTATCGCACTCCTTATTGCACCATTATTGCCTTTTCGCTACTATGCTGGATAGTGTTCTTGAATCCTCTTGGACATGGTGCGCGTCGGACGACTGATGTAGCTAGCTGGCTCCACAGCAGCAGGTGAACATATATATATTTGCGGTTGGGCAGCTAAGAAAATGAATTCGCTGAAAAGAGTCTCTTCGCTGATCTACGTGTTTTGTTTTCATTAATACCTGAATGGAGGTTATCCATGAAATGTTAAATACGTCATCCATTGTCTAATTTTGCTTAGAGATCTCTTAACCTTACAAAACGCCTACCAAGCGAAGTGATCACCGATTTCTAAGATTGCTACATGTGACGAAATCACAATGACCTAAGAAAAGAGGAATCAAAGTCGTGCATTTTTATTCAGTAATTTATTTATTGTACCAAGTGACTGCATTGAAAACAAAACATGTGTCATATGGCCAAGAAAAAGACACATGCACACCCTCACTCCACCTCATTCTCATTCTAATTTTAGAAATACACCTTATCACGTTTATGAAAATTAGTAAAGCTTAACAGGGTTAGAAGATCTTAGGTCTATTGCTTTACCATTGCAAGTTACTCTCCTTCTTGATACCCACGTATGGCGCTGTGTACTATCAATTGTTTCAGATGTTTATTAGCCACACCAAAGTGACAAAAAACATCGGCCAGCCGTTTCGCCGGGTTTCAAGCGTGTTCATCAACAATAAACCTAGTTCGACACAGGTCAAAGGACAGCATAAGCTATCTGTCTAGCTGCTCAGGGGGAATCATAATATGTTAAATCAAATTTTTGATAAAGCAAAATAACAAGTAAATGAATTTTTATGTGTATTGTTTAAATACTTAGCTAACAGGTAACAGGTCGTGAGTACGAGCCTCGTTCCAATAATAATAGCCTGGACACTTTAGTGGGTAGTAGCAACGACATCCACTAGACAAGCGTGTCTCATAGTCCAGTAGGCAGAAGCTTTTCTCTCGCGTAAGTGAGTTCAAATGATTACAAGAACCAGGGGATAAGATGACCTGGTAAGATTTATAGGTCACTTTCAAAGTCTCTATATCGAATATGGTCATATATGATTAAGAAGGCGCATACAAATAGACGATATTTTGACCGGTTTTTGTTACTTCTGTGCATTATTAAAAAAATATTGTATAAAATAGACACTCATTTGTTTTACTGTTAAACAGTCTTCTAAAGAAAGCTCTGTAAGTAATTTATGTTTCTTTTTAAAGAGTAAAACACTGCCATTTGTTTCCTAATTTATAGACCAGCTATTCAACTGAGTGAACTTAGGAATAACACTGAAGCAGCCGGTGACAGTAGACTGGCGGCAAACTTAGTGTGAAAAACAGTAAACCCTTAAGAAAATTATGTTATAGGAATTGTACAAATGTTAAACAGGAAAAATTATAGGGAAGTCAGTTCTTTCGCTTACTTGGAAGGCATTGTTGTTTCAACCACAAACGACACGGACGATTCCCACGAAAATAGTTGTGAAGGGATCAAATGGTCAACGAGAAAGTATAAGCAACGAGGAACTCAGTCAGGCAACTTCACATCTCACAACCTATTACCCAACAAACCAAATAAGGAAATGGAGATCGACTGGACAGGCACTGATTATTATTATTATTGTTTCCTTTAGTTCCTAGAGGAAAATAGGGCTTCAGCTGCACGTCTCTATTGCCTTTGGTTCTCTGCCAACGTTTTCACCTTGCTCCACGTGCTCACACATGCCTTCATCTCCTAATCAAATCACCTCACTCATGTCATCTTCACAAGGATGACAAACTCGTGACTTACCATTCGGACTCCACTGGAACAACATTCTGGCGTGTGATGACGCTCACTTAAAGTTTTTCTCAGAGTATGGAAAATTAACCTGCATTTCTTCCTGCATATTCGGTGCACAATCAATTCCTGCTGGGTTGGTTTGCTCCCAGAGATCCTTGTTGCTAATCTTTTCTGGCCATCCAGCTGATCTTGAGTAGCATTGAGTGAAGATGGCTGTTGACGAAGGTGTGCAGTTTGTTCAAGGTGCCCCTTTGATCCGTGTAGTAAGTGGCACTGAACTCACATTGGGTTTGAAAGTCCGGACCTTATTTTTCATGCTGAGGAGTGCTGTTGACCTCCACACAGACTTGAGTGTAATGAAAGCTTGGCTTGCTTTCCCAATCCTCGATGCTTTGATATCCTCATAAGTTATGTTTACGCGTAGTTGAAACGATGCTTTCCATGTAGGTAGGTAGGTGAAGGAGGTTGCTTCTTTCGTTTTTCTCCTATATATGCCGACTGTTGTCTGTTGTTTTCGCTGTCGACCAGGAATCTTGATCACTAAGAAGACTGTTAAATAATGACGTTTCTCAAGCTGTCAAGTGGGATCCGAATTGGGAAACGATGGTTTGAGTGCCATTTTGAGGGTTACCTGAGTAAGATCACTTGAAGAAAGCATGAAAGCTGATGAGAAATCATAAAGCCTGCTAGTTCCACACACAAACCGATGGAATATTATTAATGAAATAGTTAAAGTGAATTTGAGTGTAAAAAACTTTTCCAGACGAAATGTTCTGTTTAAACTCCGAACAGCCTTTAATATTATTTTCCATCGACTATATATTTATCAATAATAACATCATCACCTACACGGACTCTGATTGGTTGTTTCACGATCATGGACTTCGCATGTGTTCCGATCAATGTTTCTTCAAGAAACTCATTTTCACTACAATGACAATAAATCACTTTAGTCAGTTAAAGTCAGTGACTTCTACTACTTGTTGGTGAATTCCGAATTTTCTTCAAAGCAGAACCCTGATTTACTTAAAAATTAGAAATGTAATTGTACTACTGAATAAATAGTCAAGTGTAGGACGACAGTTCCACTGGGAGTTTTAATGCTTGGTTAGAAAAATGTGGGATAGATCAGCCTGTGTTTACTTCGATATTTTGTAAAAGTGTTACTGTTGTGAGTAGTGAGCTGCTGTAACAATTTACACAGATCAATCATTCAAACACACATGTTTAATCACACGGTTATATGACAAAAAAATTAGAGGGAAGTAACTAGCTGTTTTCTCATAATTTACTGACCTACTGATGTCTGTGATCACAAACCATAAATCCGATAAGGAGCAAATATGGCTGTTTGTAAGTAATAGTCCTCACTAGTGACTGATTTAGGATAAAGTTCTGATGAGACGTTGTGACTAGCATAGTCCGCTTAATTGAGTGTCAGGAGAAATACTAGCCAGTGAAATTTGCCGATGGTTGAGCTAGCTGTACATCGCAAAATAAGCAGTTTTCAGAATTATTGATCCAGTGGATTCTAACGGGTATATATGTTGAATGACCAGTGAGCTGGCCTCATATAACAAAAAGGCATTCGCTGCGTACTGCTGGAGAGTCGGAAGGTAGGATAAAACAAATTTTGAGTGCTCACTGTGCACTCTATAGACTACTAGTTCAGAAAAATTCCTAGAACCAGAACCTTATACAGCAAATATAACATGTCATTTCGTATCGTTTTATTTCGTTTGCGATCTGGGCAGCTTTACCAATCTCGTACAGAGAAGTTTCTGTAGCAACTTTGCTTACAGAAACGTCAGTCTGATGATTGTCCTTGCGCCAATAAAAAGTCTGTTTAGGGACATGGGTTGTCCGCACCATGTACGAGATTGGCAAGGCTGCCCAGATCGCAAACGAAATGAAACGATACGGAATTCAAGTTCTGGGTATATGTGAAAGCAGATGGAACGGAAATGGACTCACCAAATTGTCAACGAGTGAGTCAGTGATCTAATCCGGTCACCTAGAAGATAACCACACACACACACCGAGGGTGTGGCTATCATGATGTCACCAACGGAAACAAAGGCCCTGATGCAATGGGAAGCGATCTCGTCCAGGATAATGACCGCCAGATTCACCTCCAAAGGAAGGAAAGTGTTATGCACCCACAAACAACGCAGACCTCGAAAAGAAAGAAGAATTCTACAGACAACTACAGGCAACAATGGACAATACTCCAGCTGGTGACATTAAAATACTAATGAGAGACATCAACGACAAGCTAGGACCAGACAACACAGGAAGGGAACTCATCATGGGTAGAGAAGCTCTCGGAGAAATGAATGAAACTGGAGAACTCTTCGCCGACTTCTGAGCCTTCAATGAACTAGTGATTGGCGGCAGCGTATACAAACACAAAGATATCCACAAGGCTACATGCGTGTCACTAATTGACATCATCTCAATCTCAAGGAAGTGGAGGCACAGCCTACTGGACACAAAAGTAAGTACAAGGGACAATCCAAATCAAATTAAAAGCTTTCAGGAAACAGGAGCTGCAGATAGATCACAAGCTAAGTTCAACACTCAAAAGCTGAAGGACCAAGCTACAAAGGACATCTTCATTGCAAGCATAAGGGAAAAGGTAAAGACACAAGTCAACACTAGCGAAGAGGTCAGCGTCGAAAAGAACTGGGGCAACTTGAAAACGGGGTGGAGCCAAACCTGCATGGAAGTTCTAGGCAGAAAGAAGAGACAGGACAAACAGTGGCTCACTGCGGACACTTGGAAACTAATAGAAGAGAGAAGGACAGTGAAACAAAATATTATCCAGTGCACCAACGAGCAACAAAAACAGGAGCTGAATCCAAGCTACAATACGCTGAACAAAAGAGTGAAGAAGAGTGCCAGGGATGACAAAAGAAAATATTATGAAGCCATGGGAAGTGAAGCAGAACAAGCTGCAGGCACACACTCTACCAAACAACTAGTCACCTATCAGGTAAACTTTCGACACAGATTAAGCCAGTGAAGGATGAAAATAGAAAGTCAATCCACAAAGAAGTCAAGCAAAAACAAAACTGGGCTGAACACTTCAAAAGACTTCTAAATCGACCGCCACCTACAACACGCCCAACAATAGCAACAACGGAAGGAGAACTACCAGTGAACATCGACCCCCCGACGAAATCAAAAGTCCTAAGTGCACTCAAGATGCTAAAAGCTGGAAAAGCAGCAGGACCAGATGTAATCCCAGCAGAAGCATTGAAAATGGACCCAGAGACAATAGCGGACCTGATGACTCCTCTACTGAAGAAGGTGTGGAAAGAGGGCAAGGTACCCGAGGATTGGAAGAAGGGAGACTTAAGTCGTCCAGGGGTGACTTGGAGGAAGTCATGTGAAGAGTAGATGAAAACATGTGGGCAGACTTGGAGCCAGGTGAAAATTCTAGCATTGGAGACGTACGACTGAAACCCTATGTTCCTCTAGGAACTGAAGGATATAATAATAATAGTGAAAATAATAATTACATATCATTTTTCAAATCAGTATGCCTAATGCCTCTGTTTCCATCCTTTCTTTTTAACAGACACATAATACGAAGCTAACGAACATGAATTTGTGCATATCAATGGAATTTTCAATGAGTAATTACTATGATTAATGTTTGTGTGTAATACTATTTTTGAAAAATTGACATTTCTTATATAACAGGCACTCTGTGTAGCTGAAACGATCACTGAAAAAACAGCTTAAATTCCAATGTGTGGTTTTCACTACTGAGTTTTGATAAAAAAAGATGTTTGCAGATTATTCAGTCTTCAGTTTTTCTTCCAATAGTTGACTGATGCAAATGATGAGGTAATTAATGTATAAAACACTCCTTTATTTGCTGCCAACTTATACATGGTATTTTCAAATTGATTTACGCTTTAACAATGCTTGAATGGTACACTTGCACTTACACCGACTTCTGTGTGCATTTGCCGTTTCACAGAACTATGTAAGGCTGATTTTAAATTCGAAATTATTGGAGTATTTTGATGTGGTTATGTTCTCTGAGCTGGATAGTTAATTTGCGAAATATCTCGTTACAACCAACTGTATCACTTCTAGGAACTCCAACATATAATTTATCCAAAGAACTACACAGAAAACTAAAACATTCAACGGAATCTTGTGATCACCCCATCAATTCTGCTATCAAATTCCTAGGGAAAATCAGTGGCATCCGAATAGATGAACAAGACTGAATGATATCCTTCGACGTCACAGCATTATATTACCTCTATCGGACATAAATTAGCAAAAGAAACCACGGAGCAATTACTTAGCAACGATGAACACCTTCCACAACAATCAAAAATGCAACACACAAGCTTGATGGAATGCATAAATCTGTACCTAAAAACATACTTCCAATTCAATGGCCGAATATATGAACAAGTCATAGGAACACCCATGGGATCACCAATATCAGGTTTGATTGCAGAAACAGTGATGTAAAGGCTCGAAAACATAATTCTAGCAAAGATCACACCAAAGATTTGGATATGTTACGTAGACGACACACTTGTTAGGATAAAAAAACGAGTTAGATAAAACTCACAACTTAATAAACAACGTCTTCAACGACATCAGATTCACAAGAGAAGAAGAATCTGAGAACCAAATCCCATTTTTGGACGTCTTAGTCAAGCGAACAACCACAGGGGAACTAGAAACTCAAGTTTATAGAAAATCAACTCACACAGATCAAATCCTGAATTACAACAGCAACAATTCAATAACACACAAAAAGAATTCCATACAAACCCTATTCAAGAGGGCAAGGACCCACTGATAGCCGTCAAAAGACATGATATCCACTCCTTCATATCAATATATACAGAAAACCATGGACATCAATTCGACTGGGACAACCAACGTTCAAATATTAGACAGAGTAAACAACAAGAATGCTAGAAAACTTTTAGAAGCTTAGCATACCAGTGAATCATCAATCGATAGACACGTCGAGATAAACAAAATTTATCAACCGATAAGAAGGAAACCTCATACACAAAGGGTCAAAGTTCAAGTTAAAGAAACAATCAGTTTCAATACAGGTAACCTAGAAATTGTGAAAACACACAAAAACAACCATTCACGTCCAGGGGCACTAGGAGAGATGATTAATAAACTCGTGGAGAAATCTAAATGGTCACTTCAAATTGAAGTATGCTCTATAGATGTTGCCTAGTAGGGCGATGAAAGCTTTGCAATCTAACTATCCAGTTCGTAGGACACAACCACATCAAAATCATCCAATTGAGCTACAAATCTTCTATATCATATTTATTGGGGTATACTAGCACTGCTAGCACAATGCTAGTATTCTATATAAATGCCTACAGATGAACACCACCGGTTTTGGCTCATGAAAGGCAAACGTCCGTGACGCAGTCTCTGGAAACCTTGATTCAGGTCTTCCTGCCACACACGCCACTGATTTAAAGTCGTTACTACAAATATAAGTTGAAGAGACTGAATAGTCATTCCTTCTGATTTAGAGCCCTATGTTTCTATCCAAAGCATGCTCCAATGCTACTCCTCAATTGTTGATGATGGATGGTTAGAGGCAATCCGTAGTAGGCCTTTAACCTAGGTTTCGTGCTAGCTGGCACTCACAAGTCAGTCAGCAAGGTGTATCTTCAGGGAACTCAGTTTGCCAATCAGAGTATCCTACATAGTCCTACATGAGGTCAGTCATGAGCCCGAATAGCTCAGTGATAAAGTCCATGACTGCAGCACTGGGGTATATGCTTGTCAGAATCTCGGAAGGGATATGATCTGCTTCAAGGTTGAAAAGACGCCTTGCTAACGAGTGCCCACTTGCATGAAATCAAGGTCAGGTAAGGCTTCCAACCAATTACCTGCGACTATCCAACATCAAAAATTCAATATAGCAAAAATATTCATTCAGACATATATAAAACACGAAATAATCGAGCGAAGAATATTCTTTTCGATAAATTCCTCTTCTGGCTCTACAGTTATATATATGTTTATATACACAAAATATTCACGATTGGTAGTTAATAACAATATTGGAGTTTTTTAAATAATATCGATGTGTAAAGAATGATCAATGCAATTACAGTTCACTAAAAATACTTAAATTATAATAGTAATAAAGATCAAATAACGAATTGAATATCAACTAAAATTAGGAAATTTCCACAAAAATTAGGGATCATTCAAACCGAGATGGCCAAGGTAAGAAGAGTGTCTGAACTAACTTCTTTTGGACGCACAAATTAGGCTTCTTATTGTGGATCCCAACAGCCGGCCCAGCAATATTTAGTAATCGAACTCTTAAGGCGAAGTTGAGATTTGTTGGTATCCGGTAAATAACGCTAAAAGCCTGGTTATCATCAATCTTATGTTCTGTATCCACAAGATGAGCCAGAATAGCGCTACGAATAGATTTTGTTTGGCCTTTGCTTAACCATGCAAGATGATGCTCGGAAATCCCAAGAGAAACACGCCTAATTGTGCGGCCTATGTAACTGGCTCCACAGGAGCACTAAAATTGGTAGATACACATGGAAAAGGCGAGAGTAGGCAGTTTGTCTTTTACTCCCGAACGCGGAAGAGGAGTGGTCTGAAAGATACAACGTAATTCAGCAGCAGGGAATGTTCGTTTTACCGCACTCCTAATGCGCTGTGTTAGTATCTAGCTAGTGTTGTCCCCAAGGAACTCCATATGAATGAACAAGGCCTTTTTTGGAACTGTTGGTAACTTCGGCTGCTTTTGTTTTAGATTCATATTCTTATCAATAAACTTTTGAGGATAACCATTCTCACTTAGCAACCGTTTAATATTATTCAGTTCTTCATCAAGACATTCGTCTGAGCAAATCGCTCTTCCTCTGTGAACCAGGAAATTTATCCAATTGCGTTTGTATTTCAAAGGCACAAAACTGAGAAAATGTGTGTACTGGTCCGTTGATGTACGTTTTTTATAAACACTTCTTCTTATTGTGCCATCCTCTTTTTTGGTCATAAAGACGTCTAAAAATGGAATACTAGAGTCTTTTACTTTCTCAATAGTATAATTTATTGCAGGATGTACCTCAATAAATTTATCCAGGATGCTTTTTGCTTCTTTCTCCTCTTTCATAGTCAAAAAGGTACCATCCATGTACCGACAATAAAATTCGAATTCATAAATAACATCCTTCAGAGGTCCATTTTCTAGTTTCGCAAGGAATATGTCGGCTAGAATGGGTCCTAGTGATGACCCCATTACCACACCGTCAATGTGTCTATATAGTTCCTTATTAAATAAAAAGTGAACATTCCTTTTACATTTCAAGAGAAGCTCTTTCATAAAAGATATAGGAGTGCCAACATCAATGTTTCGTCTTTTGAGTTCTTCGCATACAAAGTCCACTGTTTCCATAAGTGGTACATTGGTGAACAAGGAAGATACGCCAAATGATATCATGAATTTATTGTCAACATTTAAATCTTTTATCCTTTCCACAAATCCGAAAGTATCCTTTACACTGTGTTTCACCAACTCTGTATGAAGAGGTTGTAAGAGTTCGACTAACCATTTGGCTACGGAATGGTATGGTGAATTTAACATATCTAATACTGGTCGTCGAAGCGACACACCACTTTTGTGCACTTCAGGCGAGCCATACAGTCTTGGTGTAAAAGTTCCAGTGGGTTTAAGTGATGTGTACTGACTCTGTAAGATGAACCCTTGCTGTTTCAGTCGTTTCAATGTTTCCGTTAACTGTTTCTCTACCCTTTCAATCGGATCCAGACGAGAGGAAATTTTTTGGAATTTTCGATTATCATTAAGAATGGTATTCATCTTCTCAAAGTAATCCGTTTTGTTCATAATAACCACTCCTGAGCCGTTATCCGGTTTTGTTATTATTATATTTTCATTTTTGCGTAGATTATCCGGAACTTCTCTGTGTTTCTTGATTAAGATACTATACGAATTGCATTTACTGTTCATGTAACAATAGTAACAATCGACCAGTGTTGATTTGAGTCTTTCAACATCTTCCGAAGATGAGGGTGAAGGTGAGCAACATAGAATGGCAGTGACTTTGCAAACCTGACTGATAGAATCCAGTCTGCCTCAAAAAACGGGCTACGCACACCACACTAGTTACTAGTGTCTAATAAAAGCTATAACAAAATATTCAATGACAGTGTTCCTTCAGAAACCTCCTACCTGAAGATGGGAGCCTATTTGAAATAGGGCGCCAGTATACACTGCGATTCAGATGAAATGAAACGGAGTGAAAACAATACATTTTGATGAATGGGAAATTATGGTTGACCAGTGATTCAAGCAGGTTGCAGAATATAGTTACAAAATAGTTCAGAAGTTAACGGTAGCGATTATCAGCTAACAAATATTTTAAAAATTCACAAATAGTAGTTATCATCCGTAATGAAACATGAACACACAAAGATTTCAATGAAGCGACTTCCCGTATGTAAAGTCGTATTTATATGTCATCAAACTGCAACTCTACGCACACTGTCATCACAGAACAAAGCACAGAATGGTAGTTTTACCTCTTCCTGACTCAACTTCATTGACTTCGAAAGGGCTTTCATCAGACAGCGTTGACCGAGAAGTAATTTGAAAACTCCTTCAAAACTACGGCGTACTTTGAATTTTTGTCAACTTAATTGAAAAGCTGGCTATATAATAGTGTCATGTGTCATTTGATCCATAATGGAGAACATAGCGAGGTGTTTTTGAAGTGCATACAGGAGTAAGACAAAGACAACCTGCCTATTATCACCGATAATGTTTTGAATTCTGGTGAACTGGATTATGCGACAGACTGCGTATGGGAGCTAGGAGACAGGTAACCATGGAACACCAAAGACTCTAGAGGTTCTGGATTT